ATCTCTTGATTCCTATCTCATATAAAAGGTCTAGCTCACCATTTCTCTTGATCTTTTATTTTGCTCTTTATTTATACGTTGGGTCTTTCATATAAGAGAAACCATGTGATATTTAAACTTGTGTGTCTGATTTATGTCACTTAGTATTATGACCAGAATATGTCCAGTTTCTTACAGATGACTCAAATTTATCCTTTATGGCAGAGTAGTACTACATTCCTTCCTTCCCATAGCCCAGGCTGTCCTTGAACTCGCAGCAGTCCTTCTGCCTCAGTCTCCCAAGTGCTGGGATTACAAGCATGTGCCACCATGTCCAGGATTATGTTTTCTTTATCCTTTCATGTGTTGATGGACATATTTTCTGCTTCCAAGATTATGCTGTTCTGCTGTAATTGTGGATATGCATGTATCCTGTAATATGATGTAATACTTCTGGTGGAAGCTCTTACCCATCAGCATGGCAGAGCCTGCTTCATGGGAATGGAATGCTTGGCTTCTCTTGTGATTGAGGCTTTTGCTGATCAGCATAGAGCCAGGAAGGCCATGATGTCTTTAACTCTTTTGGAAAGACATAGAGAAGAGAAATAGCTGATTCAAATGAAATTTTGTGAAAGGATGTTGGATTTTGTCAAAGTTTTTTTCTGCCTTTTATTGAGATGATCATATGACTCCCCCTCTCCTATAATGTATTGTATTTATTGATTTGTGTGTGTTGAACCATCTTTGCATCCCTGGGATGAAGCCTACTTAGTCATGGTGTTTGATCTTCTTGGTGATATTAGCTCAGTGGCACAGTGCCTGCCTGGCAAGTATGAGATCATAAATTCAATCCCCAGTACCAAAGAAAACCCCCCAAAAAACAAAGAAGAGAAATGATTCATTAGCATTTTGTTTGCCGGTATCCTGTTGAGGATTTTTGCTTCTATCTTCATTAAAGGAATTGGTCTATAGTTCTCAGTTTTGGTTGGATCCTTGTCTTGTTTTGGAATCAGAGTAATACTAGCTAGCTCTCAGAAATAACTTTGAGAGTACTCTTTCCCTTTTAATTTCATTAAAAAAGCTTGAGGATGGCTGGGGATGTAGCTCAGCGACATAAGTGCCTGCCTGGCAAGTGCGAGGTAGCTAGTTCAATCCCCAGTACCAACCATCTCCCTCCAAAAAAAAAAGCTTGAGGAATATTAAGCTTAAAAGTTTCCTGAAATTTTTGTAGATTTCAGGAGTGAACCCTTCCAAGGGGCTTTTCTTGGTGGATTTTATTTATTTTCAATTTCATTTGCTATTACAGGATTATTCAGCATTTTAAAATCTTTTTGACGCAGTTTTGGTAATTAATATATATCTAGGAACCTGTCCATTTCTTCTGAATTCTCTAATTTATTGGCATACAGGTTTTGCAGTAATTAATAATCTTTTTTTTTTTTTTTTTTGAGACAGGGTATCACTATACCCAAGCTGGCCTTGAATTCACTTTGTAGCCCAGGCTGGCCTCAAATTCGCAGCAATCCTCCTGCTTCTACCTCCTAAGTTATGTGCCACCATACCCAGCTTTTTATTTTGGCAGTGTCTATTGTAATTGTCCCTTTTTCACTTCTTAGATCCCATTGATTTGGGTCTTTTCTGTCCTTTTTTGGTTAGGTTGGCTAAGGGTTTGTTTATTTTGTTTATTCTTTTGAAGAACCAACTCTTTGATTCATTAATTTTTGGGGTATTTGGGTCTCAGTTTCATTCTTTTCTGCTCAGTGAAACAGTCATGCGTATAGTGGTGGTGGTTTAAGCTGGCAGGACTATGGTAGTGACAATTCTTTCTCATTTAGTTAAGGCTGACTTACTGGCTAATATATGGTGAGTTTTGGAGAAAGTTGCATGTACTGCTGAAAAAGAATGTGTGTTCTGTTGTTGGGTAGAAAAATAAATATAAAATCCATTTCTTTGAAGGATTTGTTCAATTCTAATTTTTTGTTGATTTTTTTTTCTAGTTAGTTTAATGTTAGTGGCATATTGAAGTCTTTCATTATAATTGTGTCTAACCTTGTCTGGTCTTTTATGTCCAGTAGTATTTGTCTTATAAAGCTGAATGTGCCATTGTTTGGTACATATTGTTCCCCTGACCAACATATAATGACCTTTGCCACTTTTGATCAGTTTCAGCTAAAGTCTACTTTGTCTGAATAAATAGGCTCCTGTTGCATGGGATATTGTTTTTCATTCTTTGGTTTTTAGCCTATTAGGTTAAATGGGTTCCTAGGAATTAAGGAGAGGAAAATGAGACAAAAGATACTATAAGAAGTAGAAAGATATTTTAGAATTAGATATAGATAAGTCAAAAAACAAATGAGAAATAGAAGATAAAGAAAAAAAGGAGAAAAAAGAAATAATATGGAGAAATGAAAGAAAAAAATTAAAAAGAAAATGAAGAAACAAGAAAGAAATTGAGTCCATAAACAGAATGTTCTGTATTTTCTTTTCTTTTCTTTTTTTTTTTTTTGTCTTTTTCCTTTTTCATCGGTACCGCGGATCGAACTCACGACTACCTGCTTGCAAGGCAGACGCTTATGCCGCTGAGCTAAATCCCCAGCCCTGTTCTGTGTTTTCAAGTGAGTGAATTCCTTCTAAGATCCACAGTTTGGAGTTTAACAAGTCACAGTTTTCTCTGCCTAGCAATCTAGACTGTGGGTCTGCTGGATGTACCCCATTCCCAAGGCCCCTCAGTTCCCCAGGCTGTGCAGTGTCCTTGTTGACATCCTTGCTGTCACTGATGGATGAGGAAGGCAGTCAGAACTCAGATCCATGCTTACTTCTGGGGAGCCAGAGTCCTCTCCCTATAACCTGTGAACTGGGGAAAGAGATCAGATTGTTTAGTCCTTTACTTTGTGTTGTGGGCTGTCTTTCTAACTTCTCTGTAGCTTCTGTTCTTTATTGTCTGTTCCTTTCTAATTCCTAGTGAGCTACTTTTTTTTCATTCTTTACTAAGTTGTTATTTTTCAGAGTCTGGATTCTGGATCTCGGAGAGGTTGACTTTTGCTACCCCTAGTCTACTATTTAAAAATGGGTCAATCAGGTGTAGCAGTGCACACTTCTAGCATTTGGGAAAGTGAGGCAGACCCATGAATTCCAGACCAGCATGGGCTACATAGTGAGTTCAAGGTTAGCTCAAACTACATAGTGAGACTGGCCCTGCTACGTGACTGCAGTCCCAGTATACAGCCCTGCAGTGGAGTTTTATTTGGGAGTAAGAAGTGATGAGGCACTGATACATGCTGCAGCATGCAGGAACTTCAGACACATTTTGAATGAAGGCAGTCACAAATGACCTTGTATTGTGAGTAGGCTCATCTGTAAAATCTAAAACTAGATTGGGGTTGGAAAAACAGGAGATCCAGCAGAGTGGTGACACAGAGAAGTTGCAGAGTATCTTTTCTGGGGCAATGAAAATGTTCTAAAATGTGGTGATATTTGTGCAATACTGTAAGATTGTGAATATTCCATAAGTCATCAGGTTGTATATATTAAATGGTGAATTGTTTGATATGTAAGGGATATCTCAAATAAAGATATTAAGAAGAAGTAAAGAGAGCTCCAAAGAATTGAGAAGTAGCACATATAAAGAGCAGCCGCCACCTAAGGCTAAGGTACCAGTTGAGTGCCTCTTCTCTGGCCCTGCCCTAGCCAAGAGCTAGATCTGTTGTAGTGGGTTCGCTGCGTGTCAAAACTTGCTAGAAATCTTTGCCAGAAATTTGCCCTCCAGGCTGCTTAGGAAAAGCTGCTTACAGGGCATCTCACCAAACCCACTCCTGCAAAACTGCTCCACAGAGGTGCTCATGGAAGCTGCCAAGTGCTACATGCTGGAAAAAGTGTGAGTGCTGGAAAAGATACAGGTGCTGCCGGACCCTACACCGAACAAACCTTTTCCCTCCTGCCTTATCTCTTTATGGCCCTATACAGACAAGGCCTCACATCTGGCCAGCTAGCAAAGGAAAATGGGGCCCAGGTTCATTTATGCAGGTTAGGCAAAAAGGAACAATTTTTTTAAAGCCAAGAGGCAATAAATCTGTAAGCCTACAGTGGTTAATTGGGACGTCATTTGTTTGCTTAGGTTTTCCATTCCCTTTGGAGAATTTAAGGTTATTTTTGCCACCTTTGCTACTGTGGGTTGGGGAAAGTGGGAGGGCATCCTTGGGCCAATTTTCTAGCATCCCAGCTCTTTCTATCCATTTTTGCATCTTTTTCTATTCCATTTGCTGGATGGTCTCTTGCAACTGATGCTGGATCTCTTGTAACTTTTATGCCTCTGTAGTTTTTACTTTGTTCTGGACAGCCTTTTAAACTTAAGATGATTAGCTTCATGTAGCTTACTTGCCTCTTTGTTTCATTTACTTACATCATTTAAAATCAAGGTTCTTACTATATTTATAGCAGTGTCCACTTTCTTCTGTACCATTCAGACTTTTACTTTTTTGATGGTGTTAATTTTCATTATTGACTTTACTGAAGGCTAATTTCGTTTAAATAATTGTGTTGTTTTACTCTTTTTATCTGGAGATCGTCCTTTAGTCTCTGCCCCTAGTTCTTGTATAGAGCCATTGGTCGGGTAGGGCTGTCATTGCCCCTAGACAAGTGCTCGGCTGCTGAGACACATCATGATACCCAATTTAGTGATCCTGTCTATTCAGTGACAAATTCTGTTGTGTAGTCTTCATTTCCTGTGCTCTCCTTCTTTCTTCTACTTTTGTTACTGTGTTTTTATATAGATGATGTGTGTACTGATTCCTTATTACTTAGACATAACTGCTCCTCTCTCTGGAAAACCTGCCCTCTCCCCCATGCTGGGGTTGAACCTGGGGCCTCATGCATGCTGCTAACCACAAACTCTGCCATTGAGGCCCCATACTCTCTAACCCCCACAGTCTGTCATTATTTTAGAGCTGCAACATAGTGTATGTGATTGAAGTCAGATCAGCTGAATTTGAGTCATGGCTCTGTCACTTTAACTTCTCTGTTCCTTAAGTTTTTTTTTTTTTTTTCTAACTGTAAAAAAAGGGAAATCACTTTATAGGCTTGATAAGATTTAGCAAGTTAAATCACGCAAAAATCTTAAAGCTCAGGCTGATTCATAGTAACTGCTATATGAATATTGGCAAGATTGTTTTATTCCTCACAGTTACTTGTAATTAAAGCTTATAGTTCTGAGTAAAATAATTTCATGTGAATTAACTGCTTAAGTTTGCTTGGTCATGCATAGTCTGAATAGCAGTGGTATGTTCAGCAAAAACAAAAAAATTTTTTTTTAAACATGAGCATTTTTGGTTGGAGATAATAGCTTAGCAGTACAAATGCCCCTGGCAAGGTCGTAAGTTTGATCCCCAGTAACCCCCCCCCCCAAATAAATAAATAAAAGAAAAAGCATTTCAGTAACTGTTTTGGAACTTCTAATTTTCTTTCTTTCCTTTTTTTTTTGGTCTTTTAGAGACGGGCTCTCACTATGCAGTTCAGGCTGGCCTTGAACTCACTTTGTAGCCCAGGCTGGTCTTGAGTTTGTGGTGACCTCTTGCCTTGGACTCTGAGTGCTGGGATTACAGGCGTGCACTGCCCACCCTGGACCCTAACTTCTAATTTCCTTGCCTCAGAAATATTCACAAAGGTATACCTTAGAAGTCCTTTGTGATTTTTTGCTCTACATGATTTTGTCATAGTTGAGTTCATATCCATTATGGCTGACATTTGAAAAGAAGCAAAACTGATATTTTAGACTAATCTAGAAATTGTTGTTGCCAGATATAGTTCAGAAAATAATGTTGTAGGATATTTTAGGAATAGCAAGACTTGTTAGTGCGGTTTGTTTATATTGGTTTAGGTTCTTGCACTTTTTTTTAACTTGTGAGTTGAACTCAGGACCTCATGCTTGCCAGTCAGGCACCGTTCTGCTGAGCTGTGTCCCCAGCCCCATTTTTTGTTTTTTGAGACAGGGTCTCTGTGCTCCAGGCTAGCCGTGAACTCATTGTATAGCCCAGGCTGGCCTCAAACTTGCAGCAATCCTCAGGAAGCTGGGATTTCACCAGCCACCATACCTAGCAGAGTTTTCTTTTTATGGGAAATTAAGGTAATTAGCTTCATGTAGCTTTTTAGCTCTCTTTAAGCATGCTATAAATGAATCATCAGTTAGTAAACAGGTAGCTTTTGAGCACCTACCAGGAGTAAAATGGTAAGCCACACTTTTCTTGCCTGGAAGAGTCAGAAAGTAAATGCTAAATTTTTGTAAATACTTCAAAAATTTTTGTACTATCAAAAAGGGTAGGGCTGTATTAGGCACAGCAGGCATTACCAATAGAAATTCTTACCTAACCTGAAATGTGTAGACAGGTAATGCTTCCCTGTGGAATGGATGAACCTTTAAGCTGAGATTTAAAAGGGAATAGGAGTTTGTTAGTGGAAACAGTGAGGTCGTGGGGACCATGATCTGAGCTTAGGAGAGAATGGTAAGTTGAAAACACTAGAGGTGCAGTATTGGTAATTCATAAGAGGTGAGGTATAAGAAAGATAAGTCTGAAGTGGGATTAGGACTGTATTGTAAGGGTAGTGGGAAGTTTGTGAAGTTTAAGTCTGGAGTAAACCATATATTGATTGCTTTGTGCTCACAGAGAGGGGCAGGAACGGAGGTACCAGACTTATTAGGAAGCTGTTTCATGAGTCCAAATGAATTATAGAGTTTTGAAATAGGATGATGGAGAGAAGCGGAGGAATGGAGGGCTTCAGGGCACGGAAGAATCAATCTGATGAAGAAAGTAAGAGACCTCTATACTGAAAACTATAGTACTCTGAAAAAGGAGTTCGAAAGGGTATCAAAAAATGGGAAGATAAGGGCGGGGATTTGGCTCAGCAGTTAAGTGCCTGCCTGACAAACACGGGGTTGTGAGTTCAATGCCAGGTACAAAAAAGAAAAAAAAAAAAAAAAAAAAAAAGGAAAGGAACGCTAACCCTTGTGCTTGGGTAGGAAGAGCCAGTGTAGTAAAAGTGGTCTTACTCCCCAAATTGTTATACGTATTTAATGCAATCCTGATCAACATTCCAACAGCATATTTCACAGAATTAGAAAAAGCAATCCTAAAATTCATTTGGACCTTGGAGAGACTTAGAATAGCAAAAACAATATTGGGCAATACAGTCAAGGCAGGGTACATCATAGCCTCTGACTTGAAATTATACTACAGAGCTACTGTGATAATAGCATGGTACTGGCAAAAAAGCAGACCTGCAGATTGATGGATTAAAAGACACAGAAACAACTCCAAACACACTCAGCTACCTTGTCTTTGACAAAGGAGCCAAACACCTTTACTGGATGTCTTGTTACTTTTTACTCGTTGCTGAGACAAAATACCTGAAGCCCAAGTTGGGAAAGGAAAGATTTATTTCTTATAGTTTTTGGAGGTTTCAGTCCACACTCAGTTGGCTCCAAGGCAGGCTGGCATGGCTGGACGGCAGTTCATGGTGGCTGCAAACAGCAAGCAGGAACCAGCAAAGAGCAAGACACACCTTCTTCCTGCCATTACATCACATCCTGGCTCCACCCCTGTGTGGGTGTAGCACTGACACCATCAATCCAAGCACTAGACAATGAACCATCACAAGTGCACAGTGTAAACTCATGAGGCCTGGGGGACACAGACATCAACCATGACACTGGAAGAATAGTAGCCTTAATATATGGTTCTGGAAAATGTGGCTTTCCAGGTGCTGAAGATTAAAGCTAAACCCCTATCTCTCACCATATACTAAACTAAAATCGAAATGGAGCAAGCTTTGAATATTAAATCAGAAACAGTGCTAGAAGATAGAATATGTAGAACTCTTGAGGACATTGTTTTAAGCAAAGAGTTTATGACCAAACTCTGTTCATATAGGAACTATCACAAAGAATCAACAACTGTGACCTCATCTTATTAAAAAGCTTTTGCACAGCAAGAGAAATCAGCAGCAAAGTGAAGAGACAACGTATAGTGTGGAAAAATTTTTTTGCCAGCTGTATACCTCAGACAAAGGAGTAATATCTAGCATATATAAAGAACTCATAAAAATCAGAATTCTCAAATTTAAAGACCTGATCCAAAAATGGTGACATTCTGCCTTGGAGCTGCTCAACCATGAACTGAAGTCTCGGAAACTATTAGCCAAATTAAGTCTTTTCTTCTTTAAAGTGCATATGTCAGATATTTTGTCTCAGCAGTGGAAAAGCTGAATAATACATATGTAGTGGGTGAGAATGAAGAGGAGCAGCTGAATTGCTCTTCTTTCATCTGTCAGCATTTTTATGTTTTCTGGTCTTTACTACAGTGGATCCTTAAGTTACAACTGGCCTCATACACAAATACCTTGGGTTGCAACTGGAATTTTAGGTTTAACCTAGGACCAAAGTCTTGAATTACAACCTGAATGTCAGTCACTTGTGCATTTGCAAACAAAGACTCATGAGGCTAGAAAAGGATGTCAGTGCATGTAAACATCAGTCTGAGCCTGCATGCATGTTTGTAGATGTGATTTTGGTTAGTGCTTTATTTAATCGCTATGATTATTGCTATCAAAATAGCCCCCAAAAAGCTAGAAAAGAAGGTACGGAAGGGAAGGTAAAGGAAGCAATCACAATAGAAAAGAAGGGAATTGTGGAGAAGTATGCATGGTGTTCATGTGACCCATCTTGCTGATATGCACAGCATGTTGAAATTCACCATCTCAATAATCTTTCTTTGGGGGGCGGGTACTGGGGATTGAACTCACAACCTAACACTTCGCAGGTACACTTTTGTGCCACTGAGCCAAATCCCCGGCCTACCACCTCAGCAGTCTTATAGAGCCAAGATTTGTAGAAGGACAAAGGCTTACCACTCAAGGCTCGTCTCATCATGGGCAGTGCTCCTGTTCACTCACAAGATTTGGAAGAATTGGCTAAAAATTCCTATGGCTTGAGGTCAAGTTCCTCCCACCTAATAAAACTCTTCTACAGCAGTCTTTTAGATGCTATATATCTGAGGTGCTTCCAGATGGTCTCTGATACAGAGTTAACCCTTAAAGAGTTCTGGAAGGAACATTACAATGTTCTTTCCTGTACAGGGTTAACTGAGAAATCCTAGGCCAGTCTGTCTCTAAGGACCCTGAGATCTGCCTGGACGAAAGTGTGGTCTAAAATTATACAAGAGAAGCACTTTGAAGGCTGTGTAGAGGCACCTCAGCTTTAAATTGGCCCTGTGGTTGATGACAAGATCACTGTAGCAGAGTCCATAGGCTTGCAGGTAACAGTGATGGTGGGGAACTGGCTGAGGAATACAGAGGAATAATCTACAGAAAAACTTCAGCAACTTCTGGCTGAGCAGCAGAGAATGGCAGCTGAGGAGCTTTCTGAAGAGGAGGGGGAGCATCAACAGTCAGTGTAGCCATTCCCTTCTTCTGAAATAAAGGAAATTCTGAAAAGATGGACAGAGTTGGGGGCTAGGGATTTAGCTCAGCGGCATAAGCGCCTGCCTTTCAAGCAGGCAGTCATGAGTTCGATCCCCGGTACCGATAAAAAGGAAAAAGACAAAAAAAAAAAAAAAAAAAAAAAAAAAAAAAAAGAGCTACAAACATTTGTAGAGAAGAGTACCCAGAGAAAAAGCCAGTCATTGAGTTCACTTGCTTAATGACAGTGTCATGTCATACTACAGAGCAGTATTGAAGAAAAGGTAGAAACAGACAAATTAAACAAGTTTCTAGTTCTGAAAAGATTGAGACCTAGTGAGCCAGAAGCAGATCCTAGTGGGCTACAGAGAGGAAGGACACCAGAGAGCCAGATTCCTGATGTTCTTATGGATGGGGACTCTCTGTTCAAACGCTAAGCACTTGCCATTTTATCCTCTCTTTCTGCAAGCCAAAGATGTCAACTTGAGTGGTGAGTGTAGTATGAAATTGTTGTTTCTGGTAAACTAGGCACATTTTATAATTTTTTAGTGACTATAATAGGAAAATTATTGATCACACATACACCCTTTTGTTTATTATGAAAAGGTTAAGGGTTGCTTTGTAGAACACAACAAAATTATGGGTATTTCCATTATTATGGGAAAAACAGTCTTGACTTATAACCAGTTACAGCCAGCCCTCATGATGAATTGATTTGTAAGTAAAAGATCCACTGTTATTTTTCATAGTTGAGCATATTATATTTAGATCAGTTCTTTTCTTTGGTGCTATGGGTCAGATCCAGAGCCTTATTCATGTTAGGAGAGCCTTCTACCACTGAACCATATCCTCAACTGATGCACATCAGCTTTTTCATTCAACACTATCGTAACATTTCCCTTAGGGCTGGGAATTTAGCTCAGCGGTGCCAGCACTTGCCTGGCAACTGTGAGGTTGTGAGTTTGATCCCTGGTGCCTATCAAACAAATAAAACAAAAAACAAACAAACAAAAACCCTTTCCCTATATCATTAAATTTTTTCATAAGCAACATTTTAAGTAACCATGTAAACTTTCATTTGTTTAAGTATTTAAACAGGTTATTTTGAACATTTACTTTGAAACTATTTTTCCTTTTTAATTCTTCATTTTGAAATAATTTAAGGCTTACAAAAAAGGTTGCAGAGACATTGCAAATAATTCCCATATATCCTTTGGCTAGTCTGGGATGATATCTGCAGATTTCCTTATTGTGAAGTTACTCTTTTCCCCTTTGCAACTAATAAATATTTTCTGAGGAGTTACTTAAAAACCATATAATATACTAGTTCTCATAAAACTTTTACCCATTAATTTTGGTGTTTTTAGCTGAATTATTACTCTAATTGTTGCTAAATGGTAACTTTACATGTCATTATACTGTTCCTTCTACATTCATTAGTTGGCATTTCACTCCAAAGAGAACTTTCTATTAATATTTATGAAGTTCTTATTTAATGGATTGCAATTCATTATTATCATGAGTATTTATCTTGATGTTCAATTGTTCTAGATCTGGCCAGAATATGACCCTCAAAGCTGGCTTTTTTCTTCTTTTGACATATTCTCGCTCTGAGCACTTTTTTACTTTTAGACAGAAGATGATCCAGGCTTATCGTATGCCTGTTCTGCATCAAGTGTGAAGCCAGCCATTCTTTTGGGGATCCCTGCTTTCTATAACAGTGAAATAAAGCCCAACACCTTGATGCTATATATGCTCATTGCTATTGGATATAACGACTGATTTTGTGTCCTTTCAGTGGACAGATTGAATGTATCCATATATGTGCACATATGCTACCTGCGTCTGTATTTATTTTTATGTCTTTATATATTGAAAATCATCAAGGCAAGTGTGGTGGAACACACACAGCATTCAGGAGACTGAGGTAGAAGGATCACAAGTTTGAGGCCAGCCTGGGCTGTATAGTGAGATCAAGGTCATCCTTGATCTCACTACAGAGTGAGACCCTGTCTCAAAACCAAGCAAGCAAGCAACCAACCAAACCATCAGTTTACACTGATACCTCCAATTCTGGTAAATACCAAGAATGAATTCTAGTTTTTCCCTTTCCGTATTTGTAACTCCCTTCCCCATCACTGGGAAATCCTCCTGCCATTTTAATTATTTCTGTGGTCAGCCCTAAATTTCCTGTTACTCCATGTCCTGACCCCTCACATGGTCAGATGTCCTCCATGCCCCTTTGCCCTAGGCATGTGTGCCTACCTTGTTTTGTCCCTCAAGCCTAATGCTTTTGAAATTGAGTTATATAGAAAGGAGAAGGCAAGGGCTCTGTGCTTTTTGTGGTTGTATAATACTTCATTTTGTGAGTGTACCATAGTTCATGATCCTCTTGAAGGACAGTTGGAAGACTTAGACTTACTCTGTTATGTTGCAAAAAGTGCTGTATGTAATAAATAGTCATTTTGATAAGATTTTGTATTTTTTTTTATTTAAAGAAAAGGAAACAAAAGAATACATGGAGATAAAAAAAAGGTAGAAATAATACAAACTTACAGAAAAACAAACGGTAAGAAATTGCTGGTTGATAAGTTACACATTGTCATCTTAGAAATAGCTGTTCATGTTATAGGATTAAAGTATTTAGAATGACATTCATAAAGTGACACTACAAACCCTTAAGATTTTGTATTTTTGTCAGTGGACTTTGGAATATTTTCTTAGAAGTGAGACTGGTTAAAGTATAAAAAGCCTGTGCAATTCTGTTGTTACTAAATCTCTTCCACCACCAGCAGTGCATAATTATCTTTTTCTCTGTCATAATCCTATCACTAGAAAGTTTGTCAAAAGTTTGGCCTAGTACTGAATTTGAAATGATATTCCTCTTTTTTGTTTTGTTTTTGAGACAAGTTCTCACTATGTATTTTAGGCTTTGAACTCATTAAGTGGTCCAAACTGGCTTCACATTTGTGACAACCCTCCTGCCTCAGCCTCCTGAGTGCTAAGATTACAGGTGTGTGCCACCATGCCTGACAGAAATGAGATTTAAAAAAAAAAATCTTTGAATATTCTTGTTCTTATCTTAGCGGCTTGAACTTCTGCGTTCTTATTTGTACCTTTATATATTGTCCACTTTTGAAAATCGGTTTCTTCTACTTGCTTCATTTAAAGTTCCCATTTCTAAGTGGAAAAGACAAAATAGTGGATTGGCTCAGCCATGTCACCGTCACATTTGTTGAAAGAATGAGTAAATTTATTGACTGTTGTGTGTCCACTAGAGCCTTGGGCTATGGTTACTAACAGACTGTGACAGTTTAGATGTCACATCTGCATTCAAGACAGAAGGTGACACCAGCCATTTCAGCCCTGTTCTACAGGGAAAGTAAAAACTTTCCAAGAACCATTGCATTTTTGTAGGCAGTCTGATTCTACCTAAATTTTTAGTTATTTTCAAAAGTTTGATCCTGAAAATACCTGATCCTTTGTCTTGTTGGAAATGCAATTCTCTGATTTCTATTTTATTTTGAAAACATTGTACATTTGCTATTTCATTTTATGTTGTTATTTTGTTACGTTATGTTTTTTACTTTTAAGTTACTTTATATTATTTTTTTATGTTACATTAAGTTATGTTATTTTAGGTACTGGGGATCAAACTCAACCTTGTGCTTGCCAGGCAGCTTAGGCTGCTGAGCTAAATCCATAGCCCTAGCTTTTTTTATAAATATAAAAATTATGTATATGAGTAAATAGATTGTGAAAAGCATCCTTTCAAAGCCCACTTTTCAGCAGTAATGGTTTTCAGTAGTTTGGTGCCTATTCTTGTATATATGTGCTTTGTGCTTATGTTTTGAATGATGCTGTTGTCCTTGTTGTTGCCAGACATACTAGCCCAGAACTAACTTTTTCGCTTAGCAGTCTGTGCTAGGCATTTTCTCCTTGTTGGTACATAGTTCATGCTTTCTGACTAATGCATCATTTTCTGTACTCCCTGACCTCAGAGTCATCATCAAACTTCTTTCCTCTGTGCACTAGACGCTGACCTCCTGCGAACAGCAACATCCAACTCCCTTATCCTTTGCTTCCACTTGAATTAGTTGATAAAATGCACTAATAGTTCATAAGAGGACAAGAGGTGGGAGAGATCATGGTACTGTTTACCCTGCTATGCACCTTGCCACAGTCCTAGTAGCAGCCATGCTCCGCCTACCACTGCTGCCGCTGGGCAGCCTTGTCTCTCTCTCCCCAGTCAGCTTTTGTTGGCCTGCAGGGATGACACCCTTCTCTCCTCTTGCCCTTTCAGTCCAAAGATTAGAAACAGCTTCTTACCACTGCTAGTCTCTGGGTGCTTGATTTTTCCTTGTGATGCCTTTAAACCCTGCTCACAAGCGGATCACAAGGGTATAAAATTGCCGTCCTTGAACTTCCTCCAGTATCTCTCTGTTTGTGGTTTGCCGTCAGCACTGCCACTGCAGCACTGGGGAGACGCACTGTCATTTGTTTGTTGGCTCCCAGTTGGTGGGCACTCACACTGGTCAGATTGTTTTGCTCCCGTAGTCAGGGTTACTAAGGAGCACCCTGTATGCACCTTTTCCTGCGTGTTGAAGTATTGCTTGAGGGAAAAGCCATAAAGTGCTGGGTCAGGGTGATGAGTGCTGTGAATTTCAATAGATAACTTCCAAATTACTCCCCAAAGAATTTACCAACTTCCACTTTTACAATGTGTTGTTTATTTTTTAATAACAAAAAAATTATGGAGGTAATACTTGTGACTGCACGAAAGTCTATAAAGGGAAGTGAAGTTTTCCCCAAGATCACGATCACTTCGCATATTCCCATCCTATTCCCCAGAGCAACCTGCTGAGGTTAGCTATGTAGCCTCTCAGGCCTGCCTCGCCCTTTTTTATACTTATATGCTTATCATAAGATGAATTGATATATATGTATATCAAGTATTCTGGCATATATTTGTGTGTATCTATATGCGAGAGCTAATTTCTAGGCTCTTCCATTGTCTGTGCCTGTCTCAGTACACGCTATCTTAATAGTTACAGCTTTTAGTTGGTTTTGAATTTGAGAAGACAAATTTTCTTGTGAGATATTGTGAAATACGTATTTGATCTTTATCCTCTTTCCTAGCATAGAACTCGTAAGACTTTTGGGATCTCCAGAGTGATCTCTTTATGGATGCTAGAGAGTTGACTGGGTCTGGCAGCCCCAAGGGTTAGGGTCAGGGCAGGATGGGATCAGGGCAAGGTAAGGATTTGAGTACGTTAGGGGCTGATCTGAAAGACTTAGGTAGCAGTCATTGCTGGAAATTTCCCCATTGTCCAGTCTTCAGCAAAGGAAGGTAGATTAAGTCAGTCACTCATGACCGCTGATGTAATCAGTAATGAAACCTTTGTGAATAAAGAAGGACAGAGTTCACAGAACTTCCAGATGGCAGAACTCGCGAAGATTCCTCGGTTGGCATCCCCAAAGAAGAAATGGAAGCTCTGGGTTCTTTCTCCCAGCCCTTACCCTGTATATCTCTTAATGTGTATATTTCGTGATACCTTTGTAATAAACTAGTAAATATGAATAAATGTGTCCCTGAGTTCTGTGATTTGCTCTGGCAAATTGGTTAAACCTAGAGGGAGTTGTGATATTATTGATTTTTTTTAAGTGGGTCAGAACTATAGATTAGTGACCTGGGACTTGTGACTGGCATCTGAAGTGGTTGGAGAGTCTTTTGGAACTGAGCTTTCAATTTGTGGGATCTCATGTTTTATGATTTGTATCTAGGTGTCCCCGCAAAGCCTCCTGTGGTCATAGGTGGGGCTTTTCAGAGGTGGCTAATGCAGAGTGTGTGATTGATTCATAATTGCTAGGATTCAGGGTGCTACGTTTAAGGGTGGATGATTACTAAATCAGCCCACTGGTTGATTTGGCACTGCCCAAATCCTGGTAGCTTGGGCACAGTATAAGGGACAGAAAGAGACTTGTCTTGTCCCTTGCTTGTGCCCACGATGAGCTGTTTCTTCTCTGCCACCCTGCCTTGGAGCCAGTCAACTATGCGCTGACCTAAACAAACCTTTCTCCCTTTAACTTTGGGTGTTAGGTACTTTGTCTTAGCAATGAGAAAAGTAACTAAGACAGGAAACTCCAGGTGGATGATTTCAGAAGAGAACTGGGTTAGAGGACACCCAACTGGTATCTGTGACTGGGTCACTGCTTGCTTGATGGGTGGGGACAAACCCACATACACAGGGCCTGCTGTCAAAATGTGTTGTTACCTGTGTACCTGCATCTACCTGTAAGCCCAGCACTTCATAGTCTGAGGCAGGAGGGTCTGGAGTCTGGGGCCAGCCTGGTCAATGTAAAAGAAAAAAATTGTTGAGGCCGGAAATTTAGCTCAGTGGTGCAGCACCTGCTTGGCAAACCTGAAGTCCTGAGTTCAATTACCAGTACCAAAAAAGAAAAAAAAAGGTATTGTGAACATGTAGAAGAAACTGAATTTTGCCTCCCCCGACTACCACCACACTTTTTCTACTTGTTTCTAGATTATTTCATTATTTTTCAATGAAAAAAATTTCTTGGTCTAGGTATGAACTCGTCAGATAATCTGTTTTTTGTTTTTGATACCAGGGTTTGAACTCACAACTTTGCGCTTGCCAGGGAGACCACTGAGCTAAATCCTCAGCCCCTCTTCAGATAATCTTCAGACCAAGTACTATATAAAACAAATCATGGATTTGTGTGTATGTGTGGTGTGTGTGTGTGTGTGGTGTGTCTTTTTTTTTTTTTTTTTTTTTAACTTTTAACTTGTAATCAGTACCAGGGATTGAACTCAGGACCGCCTGCTTGCAAGGCAGGTGCTTATGCCGCTGAGCTAAATCCCCAGCCCCTGTGGTGTGTCTTTTTAAGATAGTGTTTCACTATGCAGTTCAGGCTGGCCTTGAACTAGCAAAGATCCTTTTGTCTCAGCCTCTTGAGTGCTAGGATTACAGGTGTGCACCACCTTGTTCATCCTCAAATCATGGATTTTGACAAGACTAATTTATCGGGAACTGACATTTTAGGAGGTCAGACACATTTCCAGTATTGAATATTTTTAGTAACCTGTTATGTTTGTTTACTCAGATTTGTCTTTGGCGAAAGCCTTACTCATTTCTTTCCAAGTTTTAAGTATTTTATAGATTTTATTGTCATCCAAATGCAATATTTTCACCTTATATTTTCTATTTGGATGTGGAGAAGGCCTACTTTATTAAATTTCCTATCAATTCTAAGCTGACCATGGTGGTCCACTCCTTTATTTCCAGCTGCTTGGGAGGCTGAGGCAGGAGGATCATTTGGGCCCAGGAGTTTTAGATCAACCTGGGCAACATAGTAAGGTCCTTTCATAAAAACAACAACAAAATTCCAAGGTTACAAATAGAAGCATCCAGTCCTCTCAATTCCTGTTAGGTCTAATGGTTTTTCAGGGGATCCTCTTGATTTTTCTAGATGGACAATAACTTTTCACCTCATTATTATTATTTTTCTTGAGTTTCTTTGGGCCGGGACATCTGGTTTAGCTGGGGGGTGGAGGTGGTAATCTGATTGTCGGAGGTCTTCTTGGCTCAAGGTTCACTTAAGGTAGGTTTCAGAGTGTGCACAACAAGATGTCCCACATCATGGAGTGGGAGTGGAGGATGGATTCCAGAGAGCCTCAGGGAGAGAAACAAGGCAGCCTTCAGTGAGGCTGAGAATGACCTGTGCACAGCACAGGTGAGGTTAGGTGACAAATCTATGGCAAGTGTGCTGCGGTGGCCGTTTGTGTCATTGAAAGCTCTAAAAGTTTGCCATTACTGGCTAGGAGAAGTAGGGGATGAGTTAAAGAGTAAATCAGGGTTCAGTCAGGTGCTGCCAGGCTTTGGGGCAATTACTTTATTCAGAGGAATGGAGAATTGAATGAGAAGTGTGTTAGGCAAAATGGCCCCCTAAAGATGTCCAGGCATCCACCCCTGGACCATGTAAATATGTTGCCTCACATACAAAAAGGGACTTTCCAGATGTAATGAAGGCTGTGACCCTTTATAGGCAGATTATTCTGGATTATTCAGATGGATCCAAGCAGTCACTTGAGCCCTAAAAAACAAAGAACGGATGTCTGAAAGCAAAAGCAGGATGCTTATAAAAGGGTAAATTGGAGAGATTCAAAGACTGAGAGACTCAGTCTGCCACGGGTGAGGGGGAGCTGTGTGGAAAGTCAGAGAGGGTTATGGGCCCCTGCCTGATGAAGCAGCATTGTTACGGGAGCCTCAGTCCCTCAGCTATAAGGACTGAGCTAAGTCAGTAGCCAGAATGAGCATAGAGTGGATTCTTCTCCAAAGCCTTGAGAAAGATGCCCAGCCCCACCGTCCCTTGGCTTTGGATTTGTAAGACTCTAAGCAAAGGACCTTGCTAAGCCATACTACATCCAGACACTGGGCTTTGGAACCCTAACATAAGAAATCTGTGTTGGTTAAACTGTTAGGTATTCAGTACCTTATTTCAGCAGCAGTGGAAAAGTTATACAAGGAACTTTGAGCAGGGGAATAACTTTATGGGATTTTGTGTTATTAAGGAGATAACTGTGTGTGCTGTGCACAAAATGGATCTGGACAGTGTAAATTTGGAGGCAAGGAAACTGGTTTTCTGGGAGTACAGTGATGGTGTGGACTGGCATAGTGATGGTGGGAAGGGGTTGGAATTTGAGGTTTATTTGGGGGGCCACAGTTGCCTGCTTGACCAATGGCTGGATGTTTGGGATGAAGGAGGCTGCCTGTGTGACTGCCCGGATGACTGGCTTGGCTGCTGGGTGATGCTGAGGCCTTGATGAAGATGAGTGGCTTGGAAGATGCCATGGCATGACCTCCATGCCTTGATTACTTTAACTTCTAAGATCTATTTTTTCCTTTTTAGATCATGTAGACAATTGTAAATCATGTGAAGATGGGACTCCTGGTATTTGTGCGCAATCTGCTGCTAGCCCTCTGCCTCTTTCTGGTACTGGGATTTTTGTATTATTCTGCGTGGAAGCTGCACTTACTCCAATGGGAAGACTCCAGTAAGTATAGTCACTCTAGCCCACTCTAGACTGTTCCTGCAACAAGAACAGCCTGTTGCAGGTCTGTTATGCAAGTTTGTCATGCAGCTGAATGCTGTCATAGTTTTCAGAGATGGGCGGTTAGTATAATCTGAACATTTCTGGGACTTTTGATTAGAGATTGCCTAACCTTTTAGTCGCTCCAGGCTGAAAGCACCTTTTTTTTTTTTTTTTTTTTTCTTCCTTTTTTTAACTGCATGCATGGCAAATCTTAATTCCTTTTTTAAGCCCAGTGAGATTGTGCTGTTATTCAGTTAAAACCTGCACTACACCCATAACTCTAGTTCTTGAGGTTTTTGTTCTTTTTAATTTCCGTATTGTAATACACTCTTAATTTTGCATTTATTGCCCTAGGGTTTGATGTTGAAGTTTTTTTTTTTTTCTTCTGCTCTCAAAACATGTATCTTTACTTTTGAATTTTCTGTTTTCATTTCAATATTGTCTTTTGTTTTTTTAAAACTTTGTCTTAATATTTGGTGTTGAATCTGCATCTAACTAAAATTTTGGCTGCTTCTTTTTTTTTTGGTACCGGATATTGAATTTATAATGTCACGCTTGCCAGGCAGGTGCTTGTGCCACTGAGCTAAATCCCCAGCCAAATTTTGGCTTCTTTTTTCCTACTCAGTGACTTCCGATCCTTTTTCTTCCATCTGTGTGTTTGATTTCGTGTGTTACACAATGTACACTGGCACTAGCCTGCCGCTATGCTGAGGCCATAACTTAGGCCCTAACTAAAGAATTATTCCTGTGAGATAGTTCATTTATTTCTTATGGCCCAAACTACTAAGCAACTTCAAGCCAAGTTTTAAAATAGTGTCTTTTTTTTTTTTTAACAATGTTTTATCTTTTATTGTTTTACATAGAATTTTAAGTGCTTCTTTAATGTTTAGCTTATAATTATCACTAATTACTTTATGTTTCAAGAATGTATTCAAATTTCTCTGTACTTTTGTTTGTTTGTTTGAGACAAGGACTCATTGTATAATCCAGGCTGGCTTTGATCTTGCTGTGTAAACTAAAGAGGTCTTGAGCACCTGCTTCTCCTGTCTTAGCCTCCCAAGTGCTGGGAATACAGGCATGTGCCTCCACACCTGGCTTCACTTGTTTTTAAAGTTAAGGAAACTACCCAAGATAAGCAGCCATTTGAGCCATGCTGTGTATAATGGTGTTTTCTGTATTCAGAATGGTGATTCCTCTGTGTAGAAAATGTGTGCAAGGAACAAAGGTCTCCTTTCTCATAGAAAATATAACAAAGGTTTAGATAACATTTTCCTAGGCAGGGAAAGAAATTAACATTGTGGAAGATGATTGCAGTGGCAGGTATTAGGCAGACAATTCACAAGTTTTGTCTTATCTGATTTAATTCTTGCTATAATTCTGTGAAGATGTGATTATATTCCCATTTTCTAGTTGAGCAAACTGTAGCGCATAGTTTAATCTATCAAGGTTATACAGATAATTATTTTTAAAGCTAATGGAAATGGAGTTGAAAACTGAATTTCTAGCTTTAAAACCCACACTCATTTTTTTTTGAAGAGTATGATAAATGATGAAGAGAGGATTTGGTTTTCTGTTCCACCTGATAAAAAGAGAAGAAAGGAGCTCAGAGAAGGAGTGGTAGGAAGTGTCAGAAGGAGGGTGGAGAAAGGAAAAGGAGGAACGTAGGAGGAAGGGAAGAGAGGAAGAAAGTCGTCCACAAGAAGACTTGAGAGGTTATTTTGGAGGTGAGGAGGTGGTACTGAGAAGTGCTGTAGGTAAGCTTCAGTAGTTTATTACTAGTTCCTTGCTGTCTTTAGTAGTGTTAGCTAACTATCCAATATTCACAGCATTTCTGATATTCTGTCTGTTAAGCCTCTTAGATATTTGATTTTGAGTAGATTATTATCTTTTTTAGGGGTGGTACTGGGAATCAAACTTAGGGTCTCAAGCTTGCCAGGCGGGCACTGTGCCACTGAGCCATATCCCTGGCCCCTAGTAGGTTTATGATAGCAGTATTTCTGTGCTTCAGTATCAGGACAGAATAAGAGGAGCAATGCTGGGTGGCTTAGTGTCAGAGAGTGTCAAACAAGATCAAGAGGAAGGAGATTCTGGACCCAGATGATTGCTATGTTGTGAATTTTAAGTTATGGTTTAGTAATATTGACGATGATGATGCTGTCCTTTTTTCTGAGGACCTTAGAAGACACTTTGAAGTTTGAATATAAATGTTCTTAACATTATGAGGTACTTTTTCTTCTTTTTTATAATAATAAAATTACCTATTGAATTTCTTCTATGATGAGAAAAGAAACTAGAGTTTTATTTACTACATTATTTATCCAGTACTCATTCCTTTGATAGTCTATGTACTGTCCCAGGTAAACTGGATATAGATGAACATACCCACTGTGACTGAAGTATATGGTGAATATTTAAAGTTTGTTTTGTTTTGTTTTTTTGGGGACAGTCTCACTATGTAGTTGATGCTGGTCTTGAACTCATGGTGATCCTCTTGCCTCAGCTGCCTGAGTGCTGGGATTATACTTGTGTGCTACCTCATCTGGCTTTAAATTGTTAAAGTTTATTACAGTAAAAGCCACATTGCCCAGGTGTGGTGATGCACACCTGTAATCTGTAATCCCAGCACTCGGGAGGCTGAGGCAGGAAGATTGTTGCAAGTTCGAGACCAACCTGGGCTACATAGTGAGCTCAAAGCCCAGCCTGAATTGCGTGGTAAGACCCTGTCTCAAAAAGACAGACAAAGAGACAAACAAACAAAGACACATTCTCCTCAAAATGTCCATTCTAAGTTTTCAACACACTTACCCCATGGTCTTTGCTACTTTCCTAAGCAGTTCTGAGGACCTGTGGGTCCTTATCCACCTTAGTCACCAAATCTGACACCCTGCAATTCCTGACTTATCTTCAAAATCATTATAGCCTTGAAAGGTGAATGATTTGAATTGATTTAATTGATTAAGTCAGATTTAAGGGTTTGGTGTTCTTAAGGACACTGGGCAAAATTATACTAGGAGAAAAAAAATTTCAATGTTTAAAATTCACAAGGGTTGATATATAATATACAAGGTACTTCTGCAGTCAAGAAGCAAAGGGCAACAATCTCAGTAAAAAGTAGAAAAAAAATTTGATGGGTAATTTATAGAATTGGAAAATTCATACTAAGAATATGAAGATACAATCAAATTCGTGGGCAATAAGAAATACAGGAATTAAAATAGTAGCTAGTTGTTTTGGTATACACTATAATCCTAGCTGTTTGGGAGGCTGAGGCAGGAGGAATGGGCAATTTAATGAGATCCTATATCATAATAAAGGTTCTTTAAAAGTACTGGGACTAGCTGGGCGTGGTGGCTCACCCCTGTAATCCCAGCACTTGGGAGGCTGAGGCAGGAGGATCATTGTGAGTTCGAGACCAGCCTGGGCTACAAAGTGAGCTGAAGGCCTGCCTGAACTGCAGAGCGAGACCCTGTCTCAAAAAGACCAAAAAAAAGGGGGGGCTGGGGATGTACTTCAGTAGTGAAGTGCTGGCCTGTCCTGGCATTCAGTCCCCGGTACTAACAACAACAACAAATAGCACTTTATACCTTTTAGATTGACAAGAATTAGAAAGCTAGATAATATCAAATGTTGGCAGGAATGTAAAAATACTGTAACCTATGTCCTCTGCTGGTGGGAAGATAGACTGATATAACCATTCTGGACAGCCTTCTAGTAGTAAATTAACTTAAGTATATGCATATGCTTTAGCCCAGAATATGACTATTCTCCTTTATATTTATCACAAATTTGAGGGTAGCCTGGGTTATGTATCAGACTGGACTCTATAGATAGCAAGTATCTATATTAAGAACAAACAACAAACCGAACCCCATCTCCCTCAAAGTTTGAGTGGATGCGGGTAATCTGAGCACTCAGGAGTCTGAGGTAGGAGGATCGCTGTGAGTTTGAGGCCAGTCCGGGCTACGTAGGGTTTAAGGCCAGCTTGAATTACAGAGTGAGA